GGATTGTTGCATTTATTACGACGACTAGGTACTGGATTATCTGGGAATTCTTCATGTAGGCAATTTGCAATAGCAGCTTTTCCTTCTTCTTTGTATTCAACAATATTTCTAACATTATACAATTTATGACAATTGTTGCATACAGCTAACTGCATTTTTGGTTGAAAGATATTTAACATTTTTTTTGCAAGATATAAGGATGCTGGAAAATTTTTAAATTGTGATTTATCTAAACGAGTAAGTACAATATATAAGAATTTTATTAATACTTCAAGTGCTATATCTGGAAGTCTAAATCTTTGTTGAAATTTGAATACCCATAGAATAATTTCGGTTTCTATAGAATCATTTAAACTTTCCATCACAAATACTTCATTATTACTAATTTCAGGAGATGAAAAAAATTCGTCTATATCCTCCTCCTCCTCCTCATCATCTCCATCATCATCATTATCTTCTTCTTTATTATAATTGCATTCATCTTCACCACCATTATTTTCAGCACCATTATTCTCATCGCCATCATCCTTATCACCGTCATTCTTATCACCATCATCCTCATCACCGTCATCCTCATCATCATCATTTTCTTTTTCTTCATTGTAATATATATATCATCGTTATCCTTATTTTCATCAGGTGTTGGAACATGAAAATAAAAAGGATTTGGCAATAATGGTGATGATGAAAATAATGTATGTATGTTTTCATTATTATTTGGTTGGAATGAATCAGTATCTTCATTGAAAGGATTAAAGCCACTATTATGTTGGGAAGAATCAAGATTAGAACTTGATGCCCTTTTTCGCTTTTTTGTAAGGTTTACATCTTGAATAATGATTAATCTTTTTTGTTTTCTCGCTGTAATAGTATCTTCCTGATTTTTTCTAGTATCCTCTGAGTTTCACAAACTTTCATCATTTGTATGATTTTCTTGAGTGCGAAAATCAACCTCTGCGCCGCCACAACGAATACAATAACATGGATACAAATACCTTTTTCTGGGTTTTATTAAATCGGCCATTTTTGGTTTTTTTGATTTTATTGAATTGGCCGTTTTAGATTTTATTAAATCGGATACAGAGGTAGAGATTTCAATTTTAGTTTTTTTGGATTTTATTAAATCAGACACGGAGGCAGAAGTTTCAATTTTACTTTTCCTGGGTTTTACTAAATCAGAAACAGAGGTAGAGGTTTCAATTTTACTTTTTTTGTGTTTTACTAAATCAGACACGGAGTTAAATGTTTCAATTTTACTTTTTTTATTATTCATTTTGTATTTTATGAAATAGCTAAGAAAGTTAAGGTTACAATTACTTAAATGAATTACGCTTATTAATAAATTTTCAAAAAAATTATCAATTCAATTTTTCCAAAATCAGGTTCTTCAATCACTTTTTTAGTATCATGAACAAGTTCGCGTTCAATTCTTCAATTTTGTGTTCAACCTTTCTTTTAGGATCAGATACACATTCAATTCTTCCTTAAGATTAAGATTAGTTTTGCGTTTAATTCCTATTTTAAAATCAGTTTCGCGTTTTTAGTAAGATAAAATAAACGTTTAATTATTCATTTAGATCAGATTCGCATGCAGTTCTTCAAAATCAAGTTCGCATATCTCGCATCACTCATTCACGTATCTCGCATTACTTATTTGCGTAGTCAAATCTCAACAACTTCGAAATCTATAAATTTGCTTACAAATCTTTTTTCACAAATTCCTCTTCTCAATCAAAGCAATCAAAGTAGGCAATGATGGATAGTGATCAAGAATCTACCTTCTCATCTTCCTTATCATCTTCTACCTATTCATCTTCGTCCTTGTCAGACAATGCTATTCATTTGAATCAAAATATGTATCAAACAATTAAAGTAAGTATTTTTTTATTATCTGTCATTGAATTTTCCCAAATATTTACGTTTATTTATTATTTATAGAAAGAAGTCTTTATCTGGGTAGATTCTGAATTAAAGGATATATATGAGATCAATAATGAACGTACGTGGCTTGAGCAAAAAGAAAATATAATTACAAAATTACTTCTACCGCTTTATAAGTTAGTCAACAAAAAGTATAATGTTTCGAATAGTGATATCTTAAAGATGTTACATGGACGTTGGCATTCACGCCATCATGTAAGCAATATAAAGAAGCAAGGAGGTGACAAAGTGAAAATGGATAGGAGGAGATTAAAGAAGAATTCAAGAACTATGGACGTTAGTAACCATTTTATTAATATGAAGTGGGAATTTAGTTAATTTTATTTAATTTTATAATTATTTATTATTATAGAAAAAAAAAAGAAGAGCTCAAGCGGCAAACTATTTAATAGAAAATAATAATAAATACATTTGTAGATACCCGGAGAAGGAGCTTGTACGAATTCTTAAGGAATCTGGTTATCATTCAGAGGAGTGGGAGGAAACCGATTTTGATAAAGAAAATGATNATCGAGTTCCTAAACTTGTCTCGCTGAGGTACACGCACTTGCGACACACTTTTATCACGACAAATCGATGTTTCAAGAGTTCAAGCCAAATCAATATACCTATTTGCTAGATTTCGACAACAACTTTCTGATATGTTTTGTCAACCTGAATTCGAGAAATCCCTCTGACATTGGGCAAATCGATTAAATTCGGATAATATTTTATCTGATATTTATAATGGACGAATATGGAAAGAATTCAAAGATACAAACAATGATGATTCATTAAATTTTTTCTGAAATGAGGTTGCCGACTCGCATCTTGGCCTCATGTTGAATGTTGACTGGTTTCAACCATTCGATGGAACTAATCATAGTACCGGAACCATTTATGCAGTTATCTGTAATTTTCTGCGTAATATACAATTTAAGCGAGAAAACTTGCTGCTCCTTGGAATGCTACCAGGTCCGAACGAAGTGAGTCTACATAAAATTAATCATTACCTTGCACCAATCGTTAATGAGGACATCCCTCTGGGAAGGGATTATTCTAAATCGAACATACGAGCATCAGTTACGAAAAAAAATTCGAGATGTGTATAAGAGACAGATATGTATATTTTTAATATTTTCGTCAGTTATTCGTGATATCAGAAAAAATAAAAAAAAATTGAAAATAAGGGGTTTTATATGAATAAACGATTATCTTTAATATTAAAATACTTTTTTTAGTAATAATTTTAATATACCTCTTTGAATTATATAATACAAATACAATAAATAAATATTTTGCATATCGGTACCCGATATGTGTAAGATTGATTCAGTGTTACATATTAGTGACTAATCGTTTAGATATTGAGAATCCGATTTTTAGGCATATTTGATATGTTACATATCAGGTACCCGATATGTAATAAATGTCCGATATGTATCTGATTAGTCACTGATATATAGGTATCCGATATGTACCCGATAGCATTAATTTTGACCAGTGTAGAGGATATGCACTTATATAATTTTATAAAATTTCATGTGATATATAAAAAAATTATACTTTATTATTGTTTATTATAATATATGCCATATTATACATATTTAACATCACAAATTGCAGTGAGATATTAGGATGAAACCGTAGCGACGTGCACTTGCATAGCAAAAATTGTATAATGTTTATTTAACAAAAATCATGTTCCATCATTTTACCTTTTATTTTACACAAAAATTTATTGGTAAATTAAGAGTTGAAATCACATAAGTGCATTTAGGGAATATACTTTAATGTATATAGTTCAGAAAATTTACTGCACGGTATTAATAAAAAGGATGTACTTAACTATTAAGTTCCAAGCTCAGAACTGAGCTTGGAAGTGTACTTATAGATGGAGTGTACTTATAGAGGGTGTGCTTAGAGAGAGTTGACTGTAATAAAAATTAAATGAAAAATTTTACTATATTATAAAAATAATTAGTAATAATATTACATTTGATCTGTATTTTATAAAATTAATTAGTATTATTATAAGAATTTTAGCCAGAATTGTAAATTATTAATCAGTAGTAAATTTAATAAAGTGAATTTCACTAATTAAAAACTAATATGGTGCCAGAACTCTATACTCAAAAATGTTTCAAATTTTTAATTTATCACGTGAGAAGCACAATAGCCAATAAAAACTCACAATTTTAGACAAAAAATAGAAAAAACAGATACGAGCATGTACAAAAAAGAAAAAAAAGGAAATCGGCTAAAGAATAAAGCAGAAAGTAGTATTTATTAAGAACAATCAAGCTAAAATGGGGTTGAATTTAGACTTTTAAGTAAATTAAGGACATTTTAAGCTATTTTAAGTCTTAAAATAATTAAATGTCAATACGATTTATGTAAATTCTCATAAAATAAATGCATTTATGTGACTTTTTGTTTCAAATTTGGGTCAATCATATAAAAATAACCAAATTTCAAACGCTTATAACTTTTTATGTAGATATTTTTTTGAAAATCTGACCGGTAATTTAATAGTACTTGTCTTGTAGAACAAAGTTACTGGTTTATTTCTTTGAAATTCTATTTTATTAAAGTGTTGAAAGATTTATAATTATCACAATTTTATTTTTGAGTATAGAGTTCCGGCACCATATATTAAATAGCAAATCTGTATTAGATATATACCCAATATGTGTAGTAAAAATGCAGAAAATCAGGTACCTGATATATGTAGCAGGTGAAACCTTATAATAAACGTAAAATTTGACAAAACTATATTAAAATATTAATAAAAATTTGGCGAAACTTGACTATAAAAATCATATGAAATGACAAAACTATAATAAACTCTTATAAAAAAATTGACAAAACTGAGGTTTAGACGTTTTGCCAAATTCAAAAACCAGTTTAGCCCGCAACCTTAGATATTTGTAAGATATAAAGATATATATAAATATACATATCATTTATATATTATATATATATATTGGGTACATATATTTACTACCAATATATTAGTTTTTGACCAGTATTTTAAAATAGAGAAATCGTTAAAATTATTACTATTTAAATTTAATTAGATTTAATTAATTTTAATTAACTTTATATATTATATATTTAATAAAATATTGTATTACAAAATTTTTTTTCAATCTTAATAAAAAAAAATTGGATATTACTAAATATTACCAGTAGTAATAATTACTAATAATGAATTTATGATGTAGTATTTTATTAGATTTTTAATTATAGTTAAAAGTATATTATAAATAATACTAATATGATAACTATTAGGTCATATAAATTTAATTTTATAGTTTTTATAATATAAAAATTTCATTAATAATCTAGCAACCCAGTTTTTAATTTTTTTTTTCAATAAAAAATTCCTACCTAAAATAGTAATAATATAAAAAATTTTTTTTTAAGATTTAACAAAAACTGACTTGATTGGACTATCAACTATGAAAACCATTTTTACCACTTTGTGTTACTTTTTATTACTGGTAAATTTTAGTAATATTCAAAAAAATTTGCCTTTTTTTGTAATATTTCCAGTAACTGTTATACATTAAGAAAATTTTTTTTATTAAATAAAAAATTTTAAATTATCAAAATATTGTTTAAATTATAAAGTCAGTATAGTAATAATTATTGCTAATTTAGCCAAAAATTATAATTTTAACTGGAATTAAAATAGTTATAATAAAGTAGAATTATTGGGTTATACTATAAGAATTTAATAAATATAAAAGATATTCAATAAATTAATTGTATCCTAATATTTAGAAAAGATTGTTTATATAAATTGGTGAAATATATATCAGTTAAAAACATCAATAGAATAACTATTTTAATAGTAGCAATTGTTTTATTAAGTTTTGTTAATATTAAATTAAAAAATAGTCAAATTTCTAATTATGATTTATAAAAAAATTATAGTACATAGAAATTTATAGTAATATATAATCAAAAAAAAAAATTTATGATAAAAATTATGATGTAAAAAATATGCTATAAAATGTCTTTTTTTTTATCAATGAAATTATTTTTCAAAATAATCTTCTTTCATTACTTGAGAAGGTGTTTTCCGTAATTCAATATAAATATCAGAAGTGGTATCATTTTTGCTTTTATCAGTTATAAAGGCTTCTCTTGCAAGTATAGCAGTATTAGAAGAAACACTAATACTACTACCACCCATTTCAACATCATCATCATCATCATCATCATCACTTAATGCTTCCGGAAGGAATACATCTTCAACACCAAAATCATCATCTACTAACTTAACACCTTCCAATTTTTTCTTTATAACTTGATCAACGAGCCAAAATTGTACAATGTTCATAACTAATGGAATTATTAGCATTACAAACACAACTTGTAGTTTTGCATTATATAATGTCCATCCAAGTAAAAATTCTCCTGTGTCGAATAAAAATGGGCATAGTCGGAAAATGAGTACAACTACTATTTTCATAACAAATAAGCAACATATAAATGCTACTGTTTGTCTTATCCACCAATTCACATTCGGTGGATGACCATAGTCTCCGCTCTTCATGCCTAGTTAATAAAATATAAGAAAATTAATAACATTACTGTAAAAGAAAATTTATATATCCATTAGATACAATTAGATATGAAAGTTTGTAATTGAAATTTACCTTCTGTGCCAGTAATGACCACTATGAAATCAACTATCTTTAGAAGCACATATAGTATAAACACTCCTAGAGTACAATCGATAAATATATTAAGAAAGTACCTGAAAATAAGGGGGCAAGTTAGTTATATTAAATTGAAAATAAGGAAAAAATTCTTAATACTTACCACACACAAGGATTAGTATCGCCTCCTCCATCGATTGACCCTGCTATATAAGAGACAATTATATTCAGTCCATGCACTATTCCTGCTCCCAGCAATTGCTTGCTTACATCATAAAACCTGTTTATATAACAAATGAAAAATTATTATATGCAATTTTGCAATTTAGAATTAACGATGTTGTCATACCATATTCGTAATGGTCTTTGTGGTCGCTCTCTGTGTCTTTTATAAATAAGCGTTGAGAATGCAATTGCTCCCAGTAAGACTTGTACAAAGATCGCAAAGTTATCAACTAAAACACAATTTTGTTCGTGTGGTGTTTGTTCAATTTTCTTTTCCATTGCGAATTTTTTTTTTAAAAATAAAAAAATAATTTATAAACTTTCGATCATTTATTTCGTTGTTTTTTGGTAATTTTGTGTTACCGATTTGTCCAAAAAGTATAATGCAACAATGTTATACAAAATATTTTAGTTCACATGATTTTCAATCGCTTATAAAAGTTATGACAGATGACCCAGTTCGTTTTTTTAAAGATGTTTCGCCCGTTAAGTCGTTCGACGCGTAAACGTGGGGTTCATTTAATATCAAACATTCCCTCATCTTTTACTCAAAATGCTTTATTTTCTAGTTCGTGTCCTGGACTTGGTCGTGGCTCAATGGATAAGGTTATTCTTGGCGGAAAATCTTTTTCATTAAGTAGTCAAGAAATAAATGTTAAACCAGAGTCAAAAACAAAGGTAAACGTTCGTCCTGGTCAGTTTGATGACGTGATTGAGGAAAACAAAATAATGTTTCAATCTTTAGTTGAACCAATAAAAGATCCACTTAAACAATTGTATGAAGAACGTCAATTATCATCAACACAATTAAAGCGTGAAAGGAATAATCAACAACAAAGGCAGCGTAATAATCAACTGAATTTAAGAATTCACAAAAAAGAAATGGAACGAACTGGCTCAAATATTGATCGAAGAGATAAGTCTGAAAAAGAACGTGATGTTATTAGTCAGATTAAATCACGAAAAAATAGTAAAATTAATCGGAAGAGACAATTACAACAAACTGATTTTGTGGCACAAGATATTAATTGGTCAGAATTCATCAATTCAAATGCAAATGAATTAGATCAAATTACTTTAGAGAATAAAGAGGAAGAACAAAAAGCGTTACAGTTGGAATTGGAAGGTGGAGATTACGATCGTTATCTTTCGATTCCAAAGTCTATTCAAGAAAAATTTAATTTCGATAATGATATAGCGAATTCTTTACAAATAGTTATAGGTCAAAATCCTTCTTATAAACTTTCAGAAAAAAAACTGGTTTATGAAACTTTGTTTCAAAATCTGAATACACTAACGCAGATACCACATAAAAATAAAAATTAAATATCATTTTGTAATTGTAGCAAAAAATTTTTATTCTGAATAAAACTTATCTAAAAATAAGAGCTAAAAACTTTGTTTATATTTCAGAAAACATATTAAAATTCATATTAAAATTGAATTTAAAATTTTACGAGAAAAAAATTTTTTCCCAAATTAAAGGGCTAGATAGCGATCGATAATTAAGCAAGTTCGTTTCTTTAACGTTACGATCGCCATGAAAATAGTTTACTATTTTAAACAGTTTTTTTTTTTAAAAAAAATGTTTTTATAAGATCAAAAGACAATAAATTATATCAAACTAAATAGTGTATTTACCTTAGAGCGAGCGCGCATTTTTCTTCTCTTACGTTTAAGACGTCTAGTTCTTTTTTTCTTCCACTTTGCTCTCATTTTTGATTAAATATCTATTTTTAATTAGACAATAATAATTATATAAAATATTACATTATAACAAAGAGCCTTTATTTTCAATGGATGCTTTACCTTTGTTCAGACAAAGAGAGTCACAGAAGGATCAAAAGAATTTTTTTCTTTTTATTTATACCTAATCTGATTATTAAAAATGGATAGATCGCTAGTCCAATCTAGACGGGCCTATTTAGTAAAGATCTTACTTCACAAGTTGGCCGACTTAGTTTGACGGACCAGAGTTAAAGCTGGCTGGCGTTTGCATATTGTATTACAAGACTAAAATAGACCTATTTTGTTTAACGCGAAAATTGAAATCACTAAAAAAAATCATAAAAAGCAAACGTTTTTCTTGCTCAAGCCTCTTCAAAATCAACTACTTATATCTCCCTTACTTTTTTCGCGATCATTTATTTGGATCTTGTGGAATATAAAGTATATAAATATACTTTTTATATTTTACGTTCATTTTTTACAAGATTAAATTTAAAAGTTGCACGTTTATAGCTTTAAATAATTTATTTTCATTTGGGTTTAAATATAAAGAATTATATAAAGTCGCATTCTTTACGATGCTCGGTATTGGAGAACTTTTGGCAAACACACTTTCAGACGGTAAGCTTTCGTTATTTTACAGAAATTGTGTTTGGTAGAAAATCAGTGTTTTTAAATATGCAAATTACTGCGCCTTAGCATCTCGGAGGACTTGAATTTTGTTCATTTATATTTATTATCAACTTTGTGTATACAGATCAAAAGACTCGTGAAGATGCTCAAAGACAGCTTGAACAGGCAGAGACGAACAACTATGTGATTATAAACTGTTTTTTATATGTTGATTTGTGATAAAAAAGTTTTATAACGCGTCTTGAAGAAATCTGATCATATTTAATTATCACCTTTTTAATAATTAAAGCCGATGTATGCTGCGATGCTCTGTCAAGAGCTTGCCAATGAGCAGTCTCAACAATTTATTCGGAGTGCGGCTGGTATAGCTTTGAAAAATACTCTGACTTCATCTGTGGGGTTCAATTTAATACTTTGACTGTCATTCTATTTTATATTATAGTGAAAAATATTATATAAAAGTTATGTTAATTTTATTTTCGGTTATATTGTAGGAGGCGTCCAGAAGAAATGAAATGGTGCAAAGATGGTTATTAGTTGATGAAGCTACAAGACAACAAATTAAACAAACGGTATCTTAAACTTCAGAGTAGATTATGTAACTGGCTACATAGAATGAGTCTAATTTGATTATTTTAATAGGTTTTGAGTACGTTGGCATCTCCAGATACGAGAGCTGCAACTACAGCTGCGCAGGTACGTTGTAATGAAATAATTTGATACCATAATGTTTAATAAACAGGATATTTATATTTTATAGGTTGTTTCTGCAATTGGAGCTATTGAACTTCCAGCAGATAATAATCAATGGCCTGATTTAATGAAACATTTGTTAGAAAATGTCACGTCAACTGACAACAGTCATCTTAAGATAGCAACTTTGACCGCTATTGGTTATATTTGTGAATCAATTGTAAGTTTATTTGGCGTATTTTTTTGCTTGCTTTGTACTCTCAAAAACTAATGTAATAATTATATTTATATTTGTACCGTAGGATCCTATTATTTTAGCTCCTCAATCTGGTGCAATTCTTACTGCAGTAGTATCCGGTGCGAAAAAAGAAGAGCCCAAGTAAGAATGATAATATATTTATCTATTTGATTACTTAAATAAATCTTTGGTTACTAATCTTATTATGCCCAAAAGTCAAGAAGTTCGCAAAGCTGCTGTTGATGCTCTTTATAACTCACTTGAGTTTATACGTGATAATTTTGAACGTGAGGTAATGGATTTTTCATTGTTTTTTTTCATCTTAAAATATGATTTCTTAGATTAATTTTTTACAAATTAGGGTGAGCGTAATTATATCATGCAAATTGTGTGTGAAGCTACACAAAGTTCCGATGTAAATGTACAAGTAGCCGCTTTTGAATGTTTGGTTAGAATAATGCAGATTTATTATGATAAGATGAGATTTTATATGGAAAAAGCTTTGTTTGGTGTTGGTATTATTTTTTATTTTTTTTTATTTTTATTTTTATTTTTTATTTTTTTTTTAGAATAATCCGTATATACTGTTATATCACATAATTTTTACAAATTTAAGTTGACTGTCCTTGGAATGAAAAATGAAGATGAAAGAGTTGCTTTGCAAGCTGTCGAATTTTGGTCAACAGTATGTGATGAGGAGATCGAATTGGCTAATGAGGCTTTAGAGGTTCGAATATATTACTGAAGTATTTATACACGATTCACTAGAGAAATTATGAAATTTTCTAATCTTTTCTTTTCTTTTCTTTTTTTTGAAATAGGCCTCTGAAGTAGGTGAAACACCAGATCGCTTAAGTCATAACTTTGCAAAAGCCGCTCTTCCCGAAATATTGCCTGTTTTGCTTTGGCTTCTCACTAAACAAGTATGTCTCTCTTATATATTAATCATTACGTAATTATTATATTTATGTGTTATACGTTTGTATACAGGAAGAAGATGCGGATGAAGATGATTGGAATGTTTCCATGGCTGCTGGGACTTGTTTATCACTTTTGGCTCAATGTGTTGAGGATGCCATCGTTGCGCCTGTGATTCCGTTTGTAGAAAGCCACATTCGAAATGCTGATTGGCGTTACCGTGAAGCAGCAATTATGGCCTTCGGATCTATTTTAGAAGGCCCTGATCACAGATTGTTAGCTAACTTAGTAAATCAAGCTTTACCGGTCTTGATTGATATGATGAAAGATAACTCAGCTCAAGTTAAAGACACGACAGCTTGGACACTTGGACGTGTATCAGATTTGTTAATTGAGTGTATTAAGCCAGATGATCACCTTCAAAGTCTTGTTTCCGCGCTTGTCTTAGGATTAAGAGATTCACCACGAATTGTCTCAAATTGTTGCTGGGTACGTAAAAAAAAACTAGATTCAAATTGTTCTGCCAGACAACTTATTGCTTTTATATTTAAATTTTTAAGGCTTTGATGAGTTTATCCGATCAGTTTGGTAATAGAGAAACTCCATCACCCACTTATGCCTTATCTCCTTATTTTGAAGGAATTATTTCGGCTCTTATGGAAACTACCGAGAGGTAAATCATTTTTAAATATATATATTATGTATTTCCTTATCCTATCCTATTTAAATCTTACCGTGCGCATCATTTAATAAAGGTCAACTAACGAATCTAACTCGCGAACATCTGCTTATGAATGCATCTCCACTCTTGTACAAGGGGCTGCTTTGGTAAATATTTTTGCGAGTTCTTCGTTTCTTTGTTTGTCTTTTGTTTTTGAACCATTATTTAACTTTTCACTTATTTCTCAGGACTGTTTCCCAACTATTCAAAAGTTGACGGTTACTATACTTGATAGATTAGATGTTACTATTCAAACTACGGTATGAATATTGTAAAAAATACATTTGCTTTCTTTAATGCTATATTATATGTATTAAAACTTTCTCGTTATTTAATCCATAAATCTTTTAGAATCAAATCGTAGGCAGTGATGAACGTCTTGCTCATTCAGAACTCCAATCAAATCTTTGCAGTGTTTTAACAGTCTGTATACTAAGAAATTATTTGTTATTTTTGTTTTTTTTTAAAAAAAATCTAAATTATGTTTCTAATTTCAGAGTATAATCCGTAAATTGAAGAAGGAAGTGATTCCATTTGCTGACAGAATTATGACCACATTACTATCCTTATTTACATCTGCTACGAAGCATTCTACAACATTGGAAGACGGATTCTTGGCTGTAGGTGCCATCACTACTGGTACGTCTTCGTATAATTCTATATTTTCTAGATTTTAGCATATTAACAATTAATTGTAACTTAATAGCTGCGGAAGCTGATTTCGTTAGATATCTTGATGCTTTTGCGCCATTCCTTTATGCTGCACTTACGAATCACGAGGAATATGCTCTTTGTTCAATCGCCGTTGGGCTTATTGGTGATATCTGTCGCGCTCTTCAAGAGGCATCATTACCATATTGTGATACATTTATGAACATGTTATTGCAAATGCTTCAAGTATTATTTTTTTCCTTACATTGGCATCCTTCAAAGAAAAAAAATATAATACTGATCTAACTTTTTATTCTTTAGAGTCCTATATTAAACAGGAATACCAAACCTGCAGTATTATCTTGCTTCGGTGATATTGCTCTCGCTATTGGTGGAAAATTTGAAGTGTATTTGGAAGTAGTTATGATGGTCCTTGCTCAAGCTAGTACAATGCGTACAGCCAAAGATGTAAGCAGAATTTTAATTAGATTTGTTTATTAAACATTACTAAATTTATTTTCTTTTTTTTTATTTCTTTTGAAGGCTAATTATGATATGATAGATTATGTAATGGCATTGCGTGAAGGCATACTAGAAGCATATGTTGGTATTGTACAAGGTTTAAAGTCTGGTGAGAAAGGTTAGTTATCATCATAACAATTTGTGTCAAATAAAATAAAATAAATATATATTTAATTCCTATTTAAAATTATTACAGCTGAATTGTTATTACGTTATATTGAACAAATCTTTAATTTCTTGGGTATGACTTGGAATGATCCTGACAGATCAGAGATTATTGTTCGTAGCATGATTGGCTTAATTGGGTTTGTATTTCAACAGCAATGATCATAGTTTATTATGGTAAATGGTAATCATGTTTATTAACTCATTATTGTTTTCGAATTAGTGATTTGGCTGAAGCTTTTCAAGCCGGTCAAATCAAACAATGGTTCGCCGTCGATTTTGTTGCTGCGGCATTGAAGGAAGGTCGCACAAATCGAAACTTACCTAACGGCACAAGAGAAGTTACTCGATGGGCTAAGGAGGTATATATCACATGTTATGTTTGTGGTTAACTAATTAAAGGTTTGACAATTAATTCCCTTAACTACATCGTAAACCAGATGGTTAAACGAGCAAGTCAATAATTTCACCTTGTTTTTGACATGAATGGTGCACCATCCCCTATCTCGCTCCGCTTCCCTTCTCACCACCCGTTATGGAAGTGTAACTCTGCAAAAATTCGGGTCAAAATCTATCATGGCTTTCGCATGATAGAACCAATTGACTCAATTATGCTTCCAGCTTCCTGTTATTTTCTCTCCATCCCTTTGTTTTAACACATCACCCCTTTTATTTGGTTCCCCCATTTAGAACATTTGAAACCCTTTTTAAACCCATTTAACCAAGCCTAACTAAATTGGCTGTCCCTTTTTATTTCCCCAATTTTTTTTCTATTATTATTATTCAAGTATTTTGTTAATCACGTGGTAAAATTATGTAAAAAATTTCCCGTTTTGAATAACTTGACCTGGCCGAGTTACGAGAATCCAAAAATTTTTGGCTCGACCCTAATAAATTTTTGCGTATTTTATGTAAAAAAAACTCGTTTTTCATGCTTTACATTTGGAAACGGTTTAACCAATTAGCCAATCATATGTTATTGTAAATTCCGGAAAATCCCGGTAAATTTGAAATTACATATTTTGATAAAAATAAAACGCCAGTAAAAGTGGAAATACAGCACTTTGGTATATTTCAACATATAAATTCTAATTTCATAAAAATACAGGCAGGATCTGAAAAATGAGAAAGACTAATTATAATTATTGGTAAATTTTGATTTTCAGGTTGGAAGGTTACTTTTACAGAGAAAAATTATTGTTATGACATTCCATAATATGAATATTGTTTAAACTATAAATGTTTTATACCCTAATAAATTCAAATTATCCCAGCAATATTTCATAAATTATAACTAAAATATTTAAAACAATCAAAGGAACTATTAATTAAAAAAATATATTAATTTCCTTTTATTTATAAATAAAATATATAAATTAGGAAAAGAATTTATAATTAATTACTCACTCCTCATTAAAGTTCTAACCGCTGATATAAGATTTATAATCTTTGATTTGAATGATGTTACATCTCCATATCCTGGTTCTATATGACTACTCATTCCAACTTTTAATAATAAAAGAATTTGTATTATTATAACATATTATAAAGAATTGATCAGATTCATATTAACGAATTCATTAAATTAAATCGAATTTTATGATATTCTTCCACCTACTATCTTGTTTTCAAAACGCGTTTATTCAATACTTATTAAAATATAAAACTTACTTCTTGCAAGAAATCGTTCTTCGTTTAATATTGCTATAGCATTTATTACCAGTAAAATAACATAAATAATTTGTCCGATAGATAGCACCATTTTTCAATATTTTGTAAATATTCAGTGTAGAGTAAAAGTTTGGAGGTTGAAAAATTGAAAAATGGTTAGCATGTGATGTGTAAATAATTTATTGGTAAATTTAACATATCACGTGTCACATTTTTTTTTCTGCATTTTTTTCAATGACTGAAAAAATTAAGGAGAATCGAAAATTTATAATTGAAGATATATCAAATGGTTTAGAAAGATTTCCTGTTTCATTAATTTATGATGAAATTAAAGAATTTGAAGAATTACGAAATATATTTTATAAAGTAAAAAGACACACATATATACGCATAATTTGTTAATTTTTTCTTCTTTCATTCGTCTTAATTATTCAATTATTTCTCTATTTTCCTATTAGTATGTTAATAATTGTGTAACATTACCTGGCACAACTTCCGATTCATATTATGATGGATGTGATTGCAAAGATGATTGCGAATCTGAAGATTGTGGATGTAAATCCACTCATGGTAGACGACTTTCCTTCCTAATTTCTTGGTCCATCGATTAAAACGCGTCTTATTAATATAATTCGTTTTTTTTTTGTAGGATTCTTTTACGTATCACGCGGATTAAATCCAGCTTTTCTTCAATCCACTTCTATTTTGCCAAATATTTCGGTATATGAATGTAATTCAAACTGTTCATGTTCTTCCGTTAAATGTCCAAATAGATTAACACAACATGGAGTTTCTTTACCATTGCAAATTTTTAAGAGTAATTCTGGATGTGGATGGGGTGTAAGATCTCATACACGTAAAATTCGTAAAGGTGAATTTGTTTGTGAATATGCTGGTGAAATTATTAAAACTGATGGAGCTAAACGAAGATGGATTACGGCGAAAGAAAAGAATGAAGATAATTATATACTTTGTTTGAAAGAACATGTGTAAGTATGATGTGTAAGTACTAAGTACGCGTTTATGTTATTTTTGTAATACATGTACATGCGTTTACATCCAAATAAAAATTTTCTTTTTTATATAGAAAAGATCGAATTCTAAGAACGGTAAGTAAAAATTAAGTTTCAACTACTCACGTTAATTTTATTTTTAATCAAATCTTTACATACTATAATTTTTCATAGAATATTGATCCGACTCATATAGGCAACGTTGGAAGGTTCATAAATCATTCATGTGATTCAAACTTACAAATATTTCTCACAAGAATAAATTCTCTAATTCCTACAGCCGCTCTATTCGCAAAGAGAGACATCGAAATAAATGAAGAATTATCATTTGATTACGCTGGTGGCATGAATGATAATAATGATAACATACAAGAAATCAATATTAATACAGAAAGAAAGAAATGTTTATGTGGAAGTCAATATTGTAAAAAGTTTCTGCCGTTTGATCAATCTTTATAAAATGGTTACCTGCGTTGAACGTTTAAAAGAAATTGTTTTATACGCTCGATGTGCATTTGCACTCTGTTTTGAATTCGTCGTCATTATTTCAGAATAAACTCGTGTTATGAATTTTACAATTCTTTATTACAAAATAAATGTTCAATGGGTCAGATTATCTCATTCTATCATAAGATTGATTAATTTCGCGATTTATTAACGGTTTATTACATTAATTTGTCGTCTTTATCATAATCAACAAAAGTCTAATTTGTTAAGATAAATTATTGTTGTTGCTTGTTATTTTGCAACCGTACAAAAAGGGCGAGAATATTTTATTGCATTCATTTATACGGCACTCACTCACACTTTTATTTCGATTTCTTCCTTCTTTTTAACTTCTTTTTGATTTGTTTTATTATGTACGAAACAAATTCTACTATTGAGGATTGTATTAAAGATCTTTCGTTATGTAATTCAAATATACAACAGAGACATCGTACGACTCCAACACAATCTCAATTTCTTGATGGTTTTCCCGATTTAAACATGAGAAAGAATCGCAAAAGTGTTTATGTTTGGTAGTTTTTTTTACGAAATGATAAAATAAACGAATTAAACAGGTGGTGTTTTTGATTCATCTCTTATCAGGTTTCAAAATCGTAGAGCAAAAAGAAACAAGAAAAACTTGTCTAGAACAAGCAGCAAATACTTTAACACGGCAAAATCATCCACAGATTTCACAAATTCTATCATTATCAGCAACAATTGGTCGAGAAATTCACGCTTCCCTATCACTGCTGCAGCAGCAAGGTTTATCAACGATGCATTGTTAAAACTTCCTCCACTGAGAAATCTCGTTGAAGAATGTGATAAATTACGTACACGGGGGACTCAATTATCCGTAAATGTCACACTTCCGTCAATGCGGTAATCATCCTCACGTTCAATCATACAGTAAGTCTTATGGCTGCGCCACATCAAACACAACCCAACTTTCCCGTTCACTTTTTATCCGGGTGCATCAAATTTATCGAGATGTTATTCACATCATGCTCACTATTCTTACCTTAATTATTTTCGACGTTCTACACCTTTATCTAACGCTAATTATTTGATAATTTAGGAGACAAAAGGTAGCATGAGCATTGATAAATTGTTGGATTAAAACAATTGGGAGTCTTTATGGCGCACTTTTCATGTGATCGCCGATCAATGAATAATGAGATCGTGGAAATAAAAATTTCATACATATAGCCCTTTCAACTATAATAGGTGGTTGGTTATTAGTGTAAGATAGTAAGAAACATTTAACATTTTCTAATTGATCTCTTATCATTTTAATTATTTATCATATGGGTTTATCTATCGCATTCTATAGTCTGTTCTTGTTTGATTTGACAAACGAACACCACGTTTAATTCATTATTTAGTTCGTAACGTTGGTTGGCAACAGAGTTTACTATGTATTTGTTATCTTTTTCCTCTTTTCATTTTTTATAATTTTTTTTATGTAATAAATGTTAATATTGCTACTCTATTTCTTTCATTTTTTAAAAAAATTTCACGCTAATAAAATAAGTTTTCGATTAAAATGATTAAAAATGTCCGCTTCTTAAATTCTTGCAGCCGCAGCTGCCTATTGACAGTTTTTCCGAAGTTACACAATTTTATACCATTTTTAAACCAATTTTTTTTTTAAAAAAAAAACCTTTATCCTTTATTTGAATTAAATTAATTTCGCTTGTTTGCATATAAAAACACTAACGTTATATATTTAACGTTTACTTTATCGAAGCTTTTAAGTAAGAATTTTTCTTGTAGGAACATTTTTAAATAATGACAGAATATTCCAGGGTTAAGCAGGAAGCACTAAACCAGCTTTTAGATTTGGTAAACTTTTCGTTTATCCATTTCTTTAAGAAATATTTTGCTCAAAACTCTCATATAGCATTATTGTATGCTATACTGAAAAAAAGTTAATCAAATCCTCTATCATTTTCTATAGGGTGTTGACGAAAAAGACGCACATGAAGTCTTATTAGTGAGTGTTTGTTTTTACGCGAATTAATATCCTTCATTTTTGTTGTTAATCATTAAATAATTATTCGTAGAAATATAATAATGATGTTAACCGTGCTGCAGATTATTATTTTCAAAATTTCAATGATGAATCGGTATCTATCCTTACCAGTTCGTTCTTACTTTTATTTCTATTTTTGAATTACACAAATAATGCCTTTATTTATTTATTTTGTTTAGATGAACAATTTAAAATCTCTTACTGATTGGGAATCTTCTACACCTCGCGAAGATCCAGGTTGATTAATTAGTTTTTTGGTTAAAAACATGATTTCTTTTTTTTTTTTTAAAAAAAAAAAAAAAGTAATAATAAAAATAAAATAATTTACTATACATATATTATTAGACAAGTACTCTTATAATAATAATGGCGACACAATTGATTTAACAAACAGCGGTATAAATATTTTTTTTATAGCTTTGTTGATTTTCTCTTTAAAATAAAATTAAAAATCAAATATTATATAGATGCAGATTTAGAAAGAACATTACAACAAAGTTACGATGATATAACATCTCGACCTTCATCGGCCGTTGAAAATAACAATAACGAAACTGCTGTTGTTCTATATAATCCTAGGGTAATTAGAAATATTATATTTATAATTTGAATTAATTCGTAAACAATGGTGAACATTGATCTTCTTATTTTAGAATAACAGTAATTCACAAGTTGATGACAATTATACAAACCATAATAATTGGGGACAACCAATTAAACGTTTGAAGTTGGACGACACAACGTGCGCATTTATATGTCAAAGTTCATCCTCTGTGTTTTTACCTTTCGTATATTCAAATTAAGATTATTCATTTCAATGGTTTTTTTTTAAGTCCGATTGGGCTAAAGTCAAATATGAACTATGGTTTTGCCGGTCCATTTTTTCTAGCATTATTTCATATACCAATATTTCGATTGGTTATATTAGCATATCGGCCAACTCGAGATGATTGGGGTGAAGTGGAAGGTTATTGGGATGGAAATTCGCGAGGATTATCGGATGAATTTGGTCCAAATAGTTTCTACCACGAATTCAAATCTCGGCCATATACTCTAAAGTGTGAGTGAAAAATTAATGCATTTGATCTAAAATTTTAGATACTTATGAAAAAATATATTTTATTAGTTATGCATGAATTTCAAAAGCTTTTCGGTTTTTTGTCTCTGAGCCAAAGATCATACGGTGATGCTAGTTCATTAATAGAAGCTTTGGCCTTTGAAGATAAGAATAGTTGGAACGATTGGGATTCTGTTCAAGGTATTTTTATAAATCTTGTCATAATATCAGATTAATATTATGAATGACTAATTGATAATTAATGTACAATTTTAATTTAGATTTTTTTACTAAAGTACTTGATGTGATTGTCTACTCATCCACTTATCACCGTGATCTTATTGATCTTGATCTTGATCCCGGTATAGACTCTTTGTCTAAACACGTAATACCTTTTAATAGGTAATTTTTTTTTTATAATATCTTTTGATAATATTCTGTATATATTAACGGATCCTACGATATTCAATTAATCTCAGACTGTTGAAGTCACTTGGCAGAAACGAAAGTTTTAGTAATTATCATTACCAACCTGAAAAGAGGGACGAAGACGTTTTGAGTATTATATCCTTTAAGTTTATTTATTTATATTAATGCTAACAACTGTACCATAAGGAACTTCTATATTAGACTTAACGTTCCATTATAATAAACCCTCTAGTAATTACTCCAAGTTTTAATACGGTTTATGCTGCTCTTGATAAAATAGTATATAAAACGGAGACAATGCAAAAAGTCTTTTTTACCGAGCTTGCGAAAATTTTGATTTTTACGTTAAAACATCGGGATGCTTTTGCCGACAATAACTTTACGTCTGGAGATTCAGGATTTCATATCCATAAGGAATTATATATGGATCGATATTTGTTAAACAGAGCTGAAGATATTGAAAAACGATGGCATCAATTGGAAATTCTTAAATCTGAATCTGAGGAAATAAATCAAGCTATTAGGAGAATAACAGACTATCAGGTAGTTAGTGTAATGGATAGTCTTTTTATTTGATTAAAACATTGAATTGTATGTTCAATTTATCATTAGGGAAGACATAATGGTTTGGACTTACTCAAAGGTTCAATTGATTATTTTCGTCGTAAGTGTGATAAAGCAAGGAATAATGGTATTATTGCCAATGATGCGCAAAAAACATATTCCTTTTTGGAAGGAATTTTAGAAAAGATTGAACAGAAATTTAAAGGTAGTATCTTTTTCTTTTGAAAAATAGCAAGTATATTGTTTTTAACAAATTTCTTTTAAACTTAGACCTTATAGAGAGGAAAGAGGAAATAGAAGCGAAAATAAGAGATATATTTAATACTCCAGATATGAAAAAAGTTGTTTATCGACTTAAAGCTGTTTTAGGGCGTGATGGACAACATCATTATGCTTATATATGGGTATCTGGAGGAAACAAAACCGAAAATATTTTTAATAACAACGAAAATGGTAATTGGTGGAGATTTGGTGATATGACTGTTGAGGAGGTGAGTTTATCTCACGTTGCAAAATGAAAATAAGTACGCTTATTGAATCTGATATAAAATTGCAGACGTCCGAAGAACGAGCGCTCAATGATACGTCATCATTAAACGCGAATTCTAATGTCTATTCTCTTATCTATGTTAATGCTGATGTTGATCACAACTTTTCGAATATTAATGATATAATTCCTTCTTCACTTAAGGTTCGTTGATATTTATACTTGAAAACATTTATTTTTTTCTTTTTTTATTTATACAATTTATATTATTTAGGAATATATGAATAAGGATAATAATCATGTGCTTAATGAAGAAGTTCAGGATAATAATAATTATAATGATAATTATAGTTATAATAGCTATAATTATGGCTATGATAATTATAATAATAATAATGATTATAATGATGATTTCAATAATAATTATAATAATAATGATGATGATTATAATAATAGTTATTATAATAACGATGAAGATGTTATTATGCGTGATTCGTCTCGAACAGAAGATACGCATAATTCTGATTCTACTACATATGGTGGTAGTGGATACAATGAGAATAATCTTAAAACCGTGTGTGAGATCGCCGAAAACCAAGAAAAAAATATAGTATCCCTTCATCCGACAATTAATAAAAGGTAAACATAATATACTATAATATGAGGTAACAGATACGTGATAGGTAGATTCGATAATTTTAATGTGAATATTTATTAATTCATAGATTCGAAATATTTTGTATTAAGCTTGGACAAATTGATTTGTTTAAATTACTAGTGCATAAATTTTACGAATCTGGCTGTACATCAGTAAGTTTATTCTATAGTCCGACACGACTAATGGACTTTTTGTTCCATTGAAAGATTACATTATAGTTCTTATCGTAAACATGAAATAAGAATATCCTTATTCTATTATAATTATATTTAAGTGTCTATTTTAATCTTGAGTAATAAATTAAATTAACACAATTTTAGGTGACAGGGACTTGGGACGAGCCGCTCTCATTGAATACGGGATATTTAACTGATCCAGATTTTAAAGAATATGTAGAACTCTTCGATAAATACAAGGAGATAACTTTGTATTTTACCGAAGGGTTGGATCGTGTTAATAGCGACGAATACAGGAATGCGCTTGCATATTTTAAATATGCAATAAATCTGGAGAATGATTGGATCAATGATCTTTTTGTAAAGGATAAAAAAGGAGAATCAATGAAACTAAACGGTGAAAAATTACGACGTTCAAAAGAAATTGATGCTTATGCTAAAGCATGTTTAAAGGTTTGTAATAATAAGTATATTCATTTAAATATATTTTTATTCTTTTAACTTACCCTTTATTTAGGTTGATCACGATGGTCTTCTTAGCAAGATCCGTCATGAACCATATAGGACGCGTGGATTAAAAGATGGATTACAAACCTTACCATATATTGTGGCATATATTGGAGCATCAAATTGTGCGGAGGATGAATTATTTAAACGATTTAGAGATGAATTTAAAGAACTTATAGAGGGTGTTGATTTTACCGAAGAGCAACAATCATTGATACATAATTTATTAGAAAAATACACTCAACCTGAAGAATCTTTGGAATTAAAACCCAGTGATGAGGTTGAACCCGATGCGAATTTATGTGAGCGGTATGAGGCAGCATTGAAAAAATGTAGTTCAGGTCTAAAGAGTTATGAAGTACCTTATATTATTTAAGTGAACTTTATTTCATATTGTGAAAATTTTTTTCTTAAAATTTATATTATATTTATATATTACATGAATTTCTTAGGTTTATGTTTTTAAAATTAAATTTTATTAAGGAAAATTGTCAATAAATGAAATTGAATTTTGACAAATTTCGCGACATTTCTTAAGACTAATTATCAATGACAGTTATATTTTTGTGTAGTAAATCTTTAAGATTCCTTCATCTTTGAGGAAGAAAATATTTAACTTGATGTAGAAGTAGATTGTATTCCAACAGCTAATTCAGTATCAGATCCTAACTCTTTCAATTTAGTAATATCATCAATATAAAGTTCGGCTTCTTTCAACAAATTTTCTATATTTAATTTTGATAAAGCTTTATCTTTAGCTTCTTTATATTCAGGATCTAATGAAATTGTACTATCATCCATTTCAACTCTCTTATAATATTCAACAAATAACCTTCTTAAATTAGAATCTCTTAATATACTTGTACGTTGTAAGTTTAAAGCTTTACTTCTATAAATGATCGTTTCTAGTGTTCTTTTCATATCGGTTATTATTTCAAAATTATTTCTTTCATCTATTTTGTCAAAAAACAATATTGCTAACGATAATACAGAAAATGATAATCTCCTATAAAATTCTATCGTACAATAAAGAAATTCTATATTCCCTCCACTATCGAGATTAGAAAAATCTACTGTTGAGAAAGTGTATAATTCTAAAAATCCACTACCAATCAACCAAATTACTCCATAAGTTCTCCAATGTGATTTGCGTTTTAACATTGTTGATATCCCAAGTATACTTGCCATAATAACGTAAGACCAAGCAATATTAGGTATAATAAACATCAAATAATCTGTTAAACTATAACAATATGAACATTCAAGTAATGCTTCTTCTCCGTATGTGACATATATTAACCTATTTTCATAAGATTCTAATTTTTTTAATAAGGTTTGTTCTTTATCATTAAAAGTAGTCTTATTATTTTCCATAATTGTTCTTAATATGCTTGTTGACATTTTTAAGGGGACTCCAGTATCTCTATATATATTTGGTGATTTCGAAAATATTACAAAGTAAGTTTGTAACAAACTATTACTTAATAATAAAATTATTACGAAATAATCAAATTTTGATTTATTCCTTTTAGGTTTTTGTAAATTAAATTCCCTCCGTCTCATGAATTCACGTCCTTTGTCTATAAGAAAAGGAAGTGATATAAAAATTAATAAACTAATTAAATCTGAATTTACCATTTTTGCTGATTAATAAATAGGAGAATAGGAAAGAAAATGATGAAAATGATTTTTTTCGAGTAAAATGAGATTACCACTAGGATACTAGATTACTATTGTGTGACTAATATAATTAATTATTGATCATAAACTTTTTTGTTAGTATCGCGATCAAAAAAATGCTTGGAACATTCAGGGCTACATTAGTAGCTTGTGGTGGTTTGTTATGGTAATCTATCAACCAGCTTAGTTTTTTTTCATCCCACAAAATCCTTATAATCGTAAGTTAATTAAGCTTACTTTCTTTTAAAAATACACTAGGAAAAATCCTTCAAAAATGAGTAGAACGCGTAAAGCCAACGTACGCAAACGCTTAAGGGCTGTTGATGCTGTTATTGAAGCTGTAGATAATTCAGGTGTTAGTTGTAAAGCTCTGGTATATCAATCTCCTTACTTTTTTTTGGCTTTACCCTTTTTTTCGTATTCTTTAAAATAAACATTATTTTATTAAGGATTACGCACGTTCATTGCCAAAGGAATCAGAAATGACTCCTCGCGATAAATATACTGTCTTTAGTAGAAAACATAAGGGTTATAGAAAATCTTTGCACAAAGTACCAAAATTCACTAAAGTCACTATAAGAAGAACTCCTCCCGGCTTTTAATCTGTCAAAATTTATTAATATTAACTACTTAAAAATAGATGAAACAACTTATTTTTATAATAAGACTATCTGTAACTAATCGTTACTAGCTAATATTTCTAAACTACTTAAAACACTGAAATACGTGAAATATGAAAAAAAAACAAAAAGTTAGTTATTGTATATAAAAGTTTCAATAGTGTTCTAAAACAAATTACCTTAATACTCCACTGACAAACCATTTTGCCTCGCTACTTTTCGACCCAACTGTACAAGTTATTACTGTTTTAACATTGTCCAACTTATTGACAAAATCAAACATATCTTCATCTGTTCGATCGTCTCCCATACAAAGAATAAAATCTGGTTCAATTGTTGTGAGAATTTGCCTAACCGCAACAGATTTGCTAATATTACGTGCCATAACCTCAATGTTTTTGTTTCCAGCAATTGCGTGAATTGGATATGTTGATCCCAATGCATCTTGAATATGGTTCTGACACTCAGCAGCCTGCCAAGCACTTGAATGAAAAATTCAAAGATATGAAATAATTCAGAAACAGTAATTGCAAAAAAAGATATCCAATCAATCGGAAAATTTACCCATAATTTGAATTATCGGCCGTACGATAGTGCTATGAACACATACTAAACATGTTAGCATTAAAAGAACAAACGGAAACTTGTGCTTACATAATACATACCCAAACTATTGATAAATTCTTTTTTTCTATAAGAGATCCTGGTGTTCTTTCTGTATAATACTCGAATATCTGTATTATAATTGAAATGTTATCGTTTCTAAAATTCCTAACGTTTCAAACTCGTGGGATTTATTACCTCGTTCACTTGTTCCTTCCAGCTCATATCCAAATCAGTAAATAAATTTTCCCATTTGCCGCCAATTAATTTCAAATATGACCCATTTTCAGCGCTTTTTTTATAATTTATGTTTAAAACATTTTCAAGACTAAGAAACGAAAATAATTTTATTTAAATGTACCTCATTCCTAGATTAGGTACTTCACCTAATTGTTCTTCTAAACTATCGGACGTTCTTCCGCTCATTACATATACCACGTTGCGCGAATCACTTGTAAGTCTAGTTAAAAGGTCAACGAGACGTTTTGTTGAATTATTGGTGTTCGGAGCCTTTTCATACGCCGCGAGTGTACCGTCATAATCTAACAAAAATCTAATTAAAAATTATACGTAAAAGTTTAGTATAAAGAATAATATATCAAACCATTATTAATTTTATAATTACAATCTCTTTTGAGAATTTCTGAAATCTCCCAAAAATGATCTTGGGTTCAAATGTGGAATATGAATGGAAAAACGTCTCTGCATATCACTGTGGACCTTTTCAAGTTCTGATACAAAATTTTCAGTCCAATGTTGAGCACTATTCAAAGATGCATACGCGTATAATTCCTAAAATTAAATAAAATTAATGCGAATTTAAAATGTACACACTCTTTAAATATGGCTAACCTTCCATTTAGTTGTAGCCTCTTCGTCACTTATAATTAAAGCTTCGTGAATGGCGTTGGCACACTCCTTTTCAAATTGTTCAATTTAAAAAATTTAAATATCATAAGTATAAATGTTACTAAAGTTAATAATGACTCACCTGATAATCCCATGGATTAATGCGTATAGCTGCACCGAAACTTCCGTATGTTCCAGCAAACTAAATATAAATTTTAAATTTTATTAGAACTTACAAATTGTCTTCAATAGGCGCTCTTAAAAAAAAACTTACCTCACTAAGAATTAATGGTCGATGTTTCGTTTCTTGGCAAACCACATATTCGTGCGATGTCAAATTCATTCCGTCACGTAATGAAGTGATAAGACACACGTCAGCCGTTGAAAGAAGAGCCAGATATTGACTAAAAGTAATATCTTTATGAAGATATACAACTGGTTGATACGCGAGATTACTAAACTTCGAATTAATTCTAGCAACTACATCTGAAACTTGACTTTGTAATTCATTTTGCTCAGTAGTAGAAAGTGCTACTTGAATCAAAACCACCTATTATAATAAAATTAAATTAGCAACATTTATTAGGTCCTTTCAAGAATTACTCAATAGCCTACCTTTCCTTGCCATTCGGGATGCATCGTGAGGAAAGTTTCAAAAGCCAACATCTTTTGACGAACTCCCTTAACATAGTCCAACTTGTCACGGGCAACAACTAGTTTTTTGCCATTATATTTCTCTCCGAGTACTTCAATCCATTCGAGCACTTCTGGATCTTTCCTATTTATAATTAAAGTTTAAATATACTTTTAAATTATATATTGAAACACGCATGCTGCTAACGAAACCTTTTATCGTTCAATGCTTGAATATCGATTCCTAACATATGATAATATCATTTAAAAATTATTGCATAAAACGGATAAAATCAAATTCTCTATCATACGAGAGTTACACATACCGATTGGAAAAATACCAACAGATACAAAGTTATTTTCAAGTTGTATTCCTTTAGGAGTAGTTTCTAATATTGATGATAAAATTCGAGAACAAGTCTGAAGAAAATGACGAGCAAAAGAATAGGTCTGCAGATAATAAGGTAGATTTAAGATAAGACGAACAAACTATCATGAGCAAACAAGAAAAAAACTGTACCTGGAATCCAATTAGATCCGCACCAAGTACTCCTTCAAGTAATTCTTTGCGCACTTTAAATTATTTTTGCAAAATTAGTGTATCCATTACAAATATACTCTTATCCGAACAATACACACATACCAGGTAAACATCTAAATATTTCCGAACTAGGGAAAGGAATATGAAGGAAGAACCCAATCATCGCATTTGGAAGTTTTTTACGAATCATTCCCGGAACCAACAATAAATGATAATCATTGATCCAAACTATACGAATTGTATAGTTTGAGTTAGTTTAGAATCATCGATGTACTATAATGGCCATAATAATGACCTTTGTATTAAACGAACGCTTTACTTACTTATGTCACCAGGTTGATAATTCTCGGTAATTGTGTCAGCAAAATGTTGATTAAGCGCAACGTAATGTTTCCATGAAGTATCTTCATCCTCCTGAATTTGTTTCTTTGGATTATCCGGAAGAACATAATGAAAAGTAGGCCAGAGAACCTAAAAGTACACTTATTAATATAATTATTATATTTGAAGCGTAAAATACTATAATACGTACTTGCTTACAAAACTGATTATAATGTCCTTCAAAATCATGATCTGGAACGATTACGGGAATTGAATCATATTCTGTCGTCAGTTTGGCACGAATATCGACACGTGTTTTATCTGTGAGCGTGTCTGTAGGCATGCCAAGAGTTCCTACCCAGACGCGTTTGGTAAGGTTGTGAGCAACAGAGTTTATAGCATTTTGTAAACCAATATTGCCTTGTGTACAAGGTTCAATTGTCCAAGGAGCTTCAGCGAAAATATTTGAACTATCTATTGAAACACGCCTTTTCCGAGTGAAGGATGAAATAGAAGGGGATAATTTTTTATCTATCCCCGAATTTTGAGCGCGACTACGAGGCTGAGTCAAGCTCGTTAAAGTTTGTGGAGGAGTAGTAGGTACTTTCGAAGGAAAGAGCTTATTGATAGGATCTTCAACTTGTTGAATTGGTGAAGCAGGCCCGTCCGCGCGCTTAGCCGCCAATCCTTCAATTAGGTTTGGTTTTGGCACGGTCAGATTGATATCAACTGGACGAGAGTATTTATACTCTTTGTCTTTACCAATATCAAAAGAAGCAGTATACGGAAGAAAAAGAGAAACAACTACAACTCTATGAATACTCAAAGGCGGTGACATTTTTATTTATCGAGTTTTGGAAGACAATGCAATGGACATAAGTACCAGTCAAAGTAAAAAAGCCGGTATAAGATCACTAAAATAGGTAAGGTGACGGGCGTCTAAAATTATTTTTTTACTAAACCCGATTTTTCTAAAACTACTACCAAAATGCTTAGCCGTGTGCAAAAAAGTATAAACACTTCATATCGAAAAGAAATTTTCAAAAAAATTGACGTATATTTTCAAGAATAAGTTATCATAGGTTGTACTACGTTAGATAATCAATTGTTGCTGTTATTAACCTAAAGATTTAAACCGAAAGATAAAAAAAATTGAAATAATGGAAGGCTCTCTTTCTTTAATGAAAAATATTTTATTTTAAAAATTTTTTCTAAAACCTTTATTTAGTATTAGCGTATTTTGTTTATTGTTTTATTAAAAATAAAAGTTTATTTTTTTCATTTTCTTGAAGTTCTTTTGTTATTTAAATAAAGTGGTTTATACATATTTATATGTTATTATTCTCTATACTTATATATAACTATATTACAATTTTGCTTAATTTTATACAATAAGTATTTTATTATAATTTTCAATTTTATTTTATTACACCTTTTTTTGCTTAATTTTGAATAGATTTTGTTTTTTTAATATTTAAACTTCTATTGTGATAAAAAGTAAATTTAGTTTATTAAATTCATTTCAATAAGACAAACTGAATGGAATAAAATTTTATAAGTTTTAAATTGAAAATTAATAAAAGAAAAAAAGTTATTTTTGCTGGTTTAATCTCATTGGTAATTATTTAGTCTGCATTTAAAGACTTCTTTTACCTACATTAAAAATTAATAAGTAAGTGGTAGTAGTAATAGTAATAATGTAATAGTAATAATGTTATGGTAATAATAGTATTAATAATAATATATGTATATTAGTCAATTCTGAAAAAAAAACAGAAAATAGTCAGTTGATTGTGAAGTTTTGTATTTTTGTTGAATGGTTCAATCGTGTTATCCGATAATCTTAACGTTTGTCGGATTTTTTTTTTAATAAAGTCCGATGATACGGAATACAAGGAATACAAGAATACAAAGTCAATTTTTCACGGTCAGCCAATAATAAACCGATTAGCCAAATTTGGACACGTCAACGCTATATTTGTCAATAAGTCGGATATAAAGAATGTCATTTAGAATTTACTTCATTATAACCTTTCCAAGTTTGCACTAATTATCGGTGCCTTTTTCTGCAGAAAATTTAAAAAAATAAGTTGCAGTTGTATTTTTCAAGTTCTTGTATAATACCTAAGAAATTTGTTTTATAGAATGGAACAACAAAACGGAAATCCTCGTTCAGATTCTGTTCCTCCTCCACCTCAAGAAATTTCATCTAGTAGCAACAATCATCCTTACAGCTCTCGAAAAGATCGTTCTTTGTCGCCCCGTGCCGGTTACAGACGTTCTTATTCTCCTAGAAGAAGAAGCCCTTCTCCTACTAGAGGTTATCGTAATGGAAGAGAAGACAGATATAGGGAAGATCGTTATACCAGAGAAGACAGATACGATCGTGGATACGGTGGTAGAGGTGGTGGTTATAGAGAAGAAAGAGGTTATCGTGATTATCCTTCGTATGCTTCCGAAAGAAGAGGACCTCCAAGAAGGAACAAACCAATTGATCGGTATGTATATATGCATATATATTTTATTCTTTGAGTCAATATTAAAGTAATTTGTTACAATATCGATAGTGGTTCAGACAAAGAAAGACGTGACTCGACCACACTTTATGTGGGTAATCTTCCATATGCTTTTCGTGAACAAGACGTAGCTGAGATGTTTGAGCGGTATGGTCGTTTACGAAAAGTAACGGTTCAGATTGACCATTACACTGGAAGAAATAAAGGGTAAAATATTAAATATAATAATATTCATGTCTATACTCCCTCTATGAACGCTATAATTTTAATTTGGTCATTTTAATATTCTGAAAGGTTTGCCTTTGTTGAATTCGAAGACAGAAGAGATGCTGAAGATGCATTTGACAAATACAATGGTACCAATGTTGAAGGTCGTCGATTAAAACTGGATTGGTATTATTTATTAATTCATTCTTTGTCCGTAAATAATTTTTATACATTTATTTATATATTATAATAATTTATTTATAGGGATATTGGTCTTGGTAAAAAAGATCAACATCGTAGAGAAAAATATGGTACTATTAATGATTATGGGTATGCTTTAAAGAATTGAAAACTTATTGTTTCTAAAATAATTCTTAATGTATTAAATATTATTTTCTATTATCTTTTTTATAACATTGTCAATTAAATACAATTCTTTACAGTCGTTCTGCAGATCCTTGTATGTATATTATAAAATTATTTTTCTCCAACAGAATTATTTTATCTTAAGAGATAGAGAGTTAATAATTATAATAATTTTTATATTTAGATGGACGTGGCGCTTCACCTCTTGGATTGCGTGCTTTTAGCCCAAACTATAGAACAGGTGGCCGTTCTCCCAGTCCTTCTTATCGTCGATAAACTGTAATAGGCTTATGGGGATCTAGTTGGGATTTTAGATGCAGAATATCAATTATTGGAATTTTTTTTTAAAAAAAAGTTATGGAACAATAATTTTTTTATTTTTTATGAAGATTTATATTTGGAATTAATTTGTATATTGTGGAATTTATGGAATTGGATGAATTTGTTTGAGAGGATTTTCAGAATTAGAAGATTATTAGACAGCAAATTTGCAGATTACAAAAAATCACATCTCCCATGAGCGATAAACATATTATTATATATATATACTTATTTTTTTTTGAGATTTAGCAGAAAACTTCATCCAGCACAACCTTAAATGTAGAAGAGTATGAATCGATTCTGGATTAGAAGAATTATCATTTGTATACGATATCAACAATTATATTTTTCAGAAATGATTTCCGACCGAAATTGTAGAATTTGAAATTTTTTTTTTTTTTTTTTTTGAGTTGAGTCGATGACGATAAGCAACTAATAGGCAAGTCGATGAGTTTCGATTTAATGGATTCTTTTTTTTGTTTAAAAAGCGAAAAAAGGAATCATTCATAGAGACACGAGGTCGGTTTGTCTCTTGTGCTTATTTTTACGACTTAATTTTTATTGGCTTTATTTTTTATTCAATTTCGGTTCAATTTTATTTGTTTTTTTTTATTCCCTACTTCATTCGGTTGACTCTTTCTACTTGGCTTTGTTGTGTCGTTATAATTTTTTTAATGGTTTTTTATTTTTTGGTATTTCTGGTAAACTGATGAAACGTTACTCTTTTTCCTTTATCCGTGGACCTTAAAAATTTTTGGAGTCATTCAAAAAAAAATTATGGAGAATATGGTATTAGAAGATTTAGGTTTTAAGAATGGCGAAAAGAAGTCTTTGAAATACAAGAATTTGAAACTTCTTGATATGTTGAATTTTCAATTAAGATGCGATATGGATATAAAAGAGTTTGAACCGATATTATCCTCAAGTATGATATATATTTTTTTATACAGGTAATAAATTGATAAAAAAAAAAAAACTTTTTGCGAAAATTCAACATATCGAAATATTTTGATAAAAATATATAATGTCATTCCAATTAGGTATAAACATGATTTGTTTTGGATTATCAGAATATTAAAAAATAATTATCATATATACTGTATGTTCTAGAATTATAATTATAACTAATGCTGTAATTACTATAACAATATAAATAAATTTATTATTGCACATGATTGTTATGTACTATGATAAACTGAAAAAAATCAACCTTACTAACATCGAGTTCTTTTTAAGCTACAAACTTTCTGATAAATTATTAGTTTGAATTTAATAAAATATAATAGTAAAATATCAAATTCGAGTTTTTATAAGGGAATTACTAAATCTCACCGCACCAGCATTACAAATATTAACGGGATGAGTTTTCCAAAATTTTACCCTAATTCTAATAGGTGACAATCATTAGCAATGATATTTAGCAATACTCTTTTGTAAAGGTAAATTAAAGATTGAATTTTTATTTAAAAGTTTGGAATGGCATTTACCCAGTACATAAACTTATATTTTGAATAAATCAGGTTTTTTTTAATTAATTTATTGAAAGTGCAGATAATAATAATATAAAATAAACTAAACTACATTAAAATAAAAAAATGCCAATTTTTATTTTATTAAAAAATACTTATATAATTTTAACTAAATTAGTTAAGCATTTTAAACTATAATTAACCTTAATATCATTAATTTATTGATTTTTCTTTAATAATAGGTTAGACCTAGTTGAATTAATATGCTTATTTTTATTTTTTATTTTTTTCCTGATCATGTTTATTGATAATAATGTTAAAGTAATACAATATATTTACAAAAGTAAAATAAAATAAGGTATTCTAAATAAATTTAAACATTATCAACATACTGCTCCTCCTAAAAGAAAAGACCAACCTGTCACCTTGAGATCAAAGGTGACTTGTCATGAAAGATTTAAAAATTTGATCAATGACCTCCCTTGTCAAACACTAAGCTATTCTATAGCTCCCAACGTGAACTTACTATTTTGTCTAATTTATTGGCCACTAATTTAGATTTGTTGACCGACTTTTTCATCTTTACATTAATCTCTTTCTGATGTTCTAAATCAACTAATTTAACATTTCTATATTCCCATATAAAAATTTTAAAGTCAAAAATCAATTTGTTAACCAAACCATCTAATAATCTTATCCTGTCTTTATTTAATATTCTATAACTTGTAAACAAGTTAACTAAATCAATATGTATAAAACCTTTTGCTAGCATAAATAAATTATATACCTTATTGAAATTCCAAATCTTACAATGTGAAATTTCTTATTTTTTATTAATAATTATTTATGAAAAAAAAAAAAATTTATTTAATAAAAAAGATTTTGGGTTAAAAAATCTTAAAATTTTTAATTAAAAAACATTTTATTATATTAAAATATAATAAACTAACTTCTATTCTATTAAAATATTTAAAAAAAATTTTAAATATTTATATATATACTTTCAATTTCATATTCTTCAGAACTAAAAAAAATTGGTATGATTATAAGAATAGTACTATATGGTGTGACATTAATAAATTTATTAGTAACTAGTAATTTAGACCAATATAAATATAAAATCGATCATCTGATTTTAATCTGATTTATAAACTCAATTTTAATCGATTTTTTTAAAAAAATAATGTTCCATTTGGGTTCTGAGTGGTTGCCACTCAGATATAATTTAAAATAAGAAATCAGATATAAATCAGATATAAATCAACAAATACTATTAAATTTGACACTATTAATTAGACATAAATCAACTAAATTTATTATATAAATCAGATATAAATCAGATATAATTCAATTACAATTTAATTTATAAATTCAGATATACTATAAAATATATTATAATACACAAAACTAAAAAAATAGAGTAAAATAAATTCAGATATGCTATAAAATATAATATAATACGCAAAACTAAAAAAATAGAGTAAAATAAATTCAGATATGCTATAAAATATAATATAATACGCAAAATTAAAAAAAAAAGTAAAATTAATTCAAATATTAAAATATACTATAATACGCAAAACTTAAAAAAAAAGTAAATTAATAATAAAATAGAAATCTGAAATTTCAACTATTAAATTTTCTTGCATAAAACTTTCTGATTTATTCCCCTTATCTGCCAAAATTGCATCTAATTTTTCATCATCAATATTTAAATCGTCATCATCTCCTGTATATTCTATGTCATATACCATATCTGGTTGATCAATATATGACCAATCGGAAATATCATCTGGTGAGACTTTGTCATAGCATTGTATCTCATCATCATAGTTCTGAAGTCATAATTGCTATGCTGTTTGGTCTACTCTTACATGTTTATCAAAAACATTTCTTAATAAAAGTCTCAACTAAAATATAAAAATAAATATGATAAAATCAAAAATGTAAAAATAAGTAAAATCAGAATTAATGAAAATAAGTAAAATCAGAATTAGTGAAAATAAGTAAAATCAGAATTAGTGAAAATTTATAGCAAAATAAATTATCAAGATAAAATAAGTAATCTCTTCTAAGCGCTATGATAGATCATAAATATTAATGACCGATTTTGAACCTTTATCTTCAGTTTTACTCACTTTCAGTAAATGATATGCATAATTTGCCAGAATTTTTAACAGATTCCATTTTCTATAACTTATTCTTTTTATTAAAGAGATTTTTTGCAATCTTTATCCTTCACAATTTTTTCTAATTGATAAATTTAAAATAAATTAATATGGATTATTAATTTACCGCTGGATTATATTACATATATCATTTAATTTATTATTAGCATAAACTTGTCGATTGTCTATGCTTTCTTTACCTGATATCCTCAAACTCAATTTAAATCATTAAGATTTATATAGACTACTTAACCACTTTGTTACCTGCTTAAAGGATGGTTGATAATTCAGAGCAAATAATTTTTAGATTTTAAAAATTAATTTAAGTTAAATTTTAATATTTTTTGCACTGTTAAACATTTTATTGTAGTTTAAGTTATATTTCTCATTAAATGTTTTTAAGATTGATTTCATTTCGATTTAATTGATATTTTTAAAAAAAAAAATTAAAGAAAGTATTATGAAATAATAAAAATTAGTAACAAATAGATATGTTAGTAGAAAATTCAGTATAAATTTGTAGAGCCAAAAACGTTAGTTATTGAAATTAATAAAAATTGGTAATTCGTAAAAGTTAGTATATGAATTTATGTTGAAATTAGTAAAAAATTAGTAATTGTAAAGTTAGTATATGAATTTGCGTTAAATTAGTAAAAAATTAGTAATTTGTAAAAGTTAATATATAAATCGTGTTAAATTAATAAAATTTGTAAAAAATTAGTAATTTGTAAAAGTTAGTATATGAATCATATTAAATTAATAAAAATTCGTAGAAAATTAGTAATTCTTAAAAGTTGGTATATGAATCATGTTAAATTAATAAAAATTGTAAAAAATTAAAATTAGTAATTGTAAAGTTAGTATACGAATTTGCGTTAAATTAATAAAAAATTAGTAATTTATAAAAGTTAGTATATGAATTATGTTAAATTAATAAAAATTTGTAAAAAATTAGTAATTTGTAAAAGTTAGTATATAAATTGTGTTAAATTAATAAAAATTTGTAAAAAATTAGTAATTCGTAAAAGTTAATTTGTAATCCATCTTCAAACCAGTGAAAACTACTAATAAATTTTCAGGAAACTGGTTTTACAAATTAATTATTCCTTAAATGGCTTTTGAGCTGATTTGCCCAGAATTTTTTTTTTAAGTGTTATATAATAATGTTCTGAGTATATTGAATGATAAATTTGCATCGTCAAATATTAATATTACAAGTTTGATCAATATATACTTGCTATTTAAGGTTACGTTATTATACAAATTGGCAATATTGCTTAAAAAGTAACCAGCCAAATTTGTATTACAACTCGGCTAAAAATAGTGTAATCAATTGCTTAAAACCAAGGGAATCAAGATCTATCAAAAATTTTTACATTGAATGATTAGTTAAAAAATTTTTTCTTTAACAACGCTAGATTCTGACCTTTAAAAAAACCATAATTATTCAATACAAGAGATGGGACTAAAGATGTTAGCCGTAATTAATTAGCCGATGCTGTAATATTACAGCATACAGCATTACAGTTATGACACTTTTTGTAATACTGTAATTAGGCTGTAATGCTGTATGTAATTGGGTTGTAATGCTGTAATTAGGTCGCAATACTATAATTAGGCTATAATGTCGTAATTTTTAATGGTATAAAAATTTAAAATAAAAGTAATGAATTATAAAAGTAAATTACAATAGTTTATATGTCGTGTAATTTTAATTTTTAGGGGGTACATAAGATACATCGCATTTTTTTTTGTATTTTGTATACGCATTCGTGTAAAGAAAAAAATTATATAATGAACTAAAATCCCTAGAGATGGGTAATCGGAAAGAAAGGTAGAAAATATTGTTTTTTTCAAAAAATTTATATTAAATTAGCATAATATCTTTAACAATTAGATGATTTTATGCATAATTTACATATAAACTTTTTTACAAAAAAAAAAAAATTAATATTATTTTTTTTTTAATATTATTTACCTCTTAAAATTGAAATTACATGGTTATCATATCCGCCGATCTGCAGAATTAACAAAATTTGTCTAAATTAAGGTATTTGACAATAATTTAATAAAAATTAGGTAAATTAAGTTTTGCAAAAATGATCACACTTGTGCTACATGATCATATGACAGATATTAAGAAATTACTTCAACAAAAAGTAGCATTAAAAAAATTTTTTTCTTTCGTAAACTCCCTATTAAACTCCCCATCAACTCCCCCATCAACTTTTCAAACAGTTTTTACATCAAGTAAATTGAGAATTTTTGCAAGTATATTTGTAATTATTTTATATTAGATACAACTTGGAGCTGTTTTTTTTATTTTTATTTTTATAGTTTTTAGAAAAATTTATTTAGAAAGCAAAATTATTCAAAAAAAATCTTTTCAATAAATAAATACCTCTAAATATTAATAACGATGTTTTAGCAAATTTAGATTATGTATTGATTAGTTGTTTAATTAAAATCTATTTGATATTTATTATTAATTATTTTTCAGTTAATTTTTTTTCGTTAAATCATTAAATATTCTGAATTTTGTAAAGTTTTTTTTTTGTTTTTTTTAATAAACTAACTTTATAATATTTTTTCCTTTTTTTTCTAGAAACTCCTTCTACTGGTTTCAGGTTAAAGAGGTAAATATTTTGTGAGAGGTCTTAAAAGTTTTTTTATATATTTTTTGATATTTTTTCTTATATAGAAACGAGTTTTGATCGATTTTAATCGGTACTACGCCATATAACTGATAATCAGCAAATTCTGCAAATCAGCGGATATGTATATTTCCTAAAATCTGAAATCTGAAATCTGAAATATAATTCTGGCTGAAATTAACGTAATTTCATTTAAACATGTAATTTCAGCTGAAAATCATAATTCAGCCAAAACAGAAATGCAGATCGTTCCTTTTTTGGTGATAGCTATTCCACAAAAATTGATTTTAGTGGAAACGACACTGGAATTTTGTATAACATCACTTTCCTTTTTAGGATATTTGTTAATTTCTGCTAAAATTAAGTGCATAATTCTAGCTGAAATTACATACGTAATTTCAGAATTACGGCATTATGGATTAGTTACAACATTAAGACCTAATTACAGTATTACAACCTAATTATAGCATTACAACTTAATTACAGCATTACAACTTTTGCTTTTTAATGTAGATAGGTTGCAACCTATTACATACGACACTGACACACTGTGTCTTAATATTACAGTTACGGCTAACATCTTTAGTACATTGTATTCAGTATGATAATGTGAATGCTATTTTAAATAACTCAGAGCACATAAGTCTCGGACATTAAGAAAATTAAAGAAAGCGATTAACAAAAAGTGATCTGTGCTAAAAGTGTCTGAAGAATCCAAAACAAGAGACCACAAATGGGCAGCGGGAAAAGCAGGGAATGTCTAAAGATAATCCAGATGAGATAAATGTTTAGAACTTAAAGACCTGAATGTAGGTAAAGGGGAAGAAGAGGAGTCAAAAGCACACAAATCTTCAAATTGATGTGAGTGTAGATAGCGAAACAAGGAATGAGTAGGAGATGAGATAGATGGATCAGAAATGTTTTTGAGATAACAGTTAAATTCAGCATTCAGATCGCCATCTAGTAAAATATGGATACCAGCAGAACATGCTGTAGTGATCCAGGAAACAAGAGTGGAATGACAATTGGAAATTAATTTACTATTAAGTCTACTGGAAGGAGGTACATAAGCTCCAATAATAAGAATCTCTTGTCGACCAGATAACTGCAAAAAGAGGGATATTAATCGGTCTTTATAAAACCGTTTTCTAATTACATACATGGCTAAACTAGAATGAAAAATAATGCCAATTCCTGCATGATGATTAATGGAGGGTCCATTTGTGATAATTAAGTTGGGAAAGGAAAGGTTCACACACAAATTTGTGAGCAGGTGACCGTAAATTAGTTTCAGTAAGAATTAAACTATGAAGTTGATAAAAAAGAAGTAAAGAAAATAAATTTAATTGTTTAGAAGAATGAACTATAGATTAAACATTAAGAGTACCAATTCGCAAAATATTAGAGGAATTAAGTTCACAACTAAACTGATCAGGAGAAATGTCAAAACATTAAATAGAGGAAGGAGGAAGGGAAGGATTTATATTAGACGCACTATCAGGAAAGTGAGATCCCTGCAAACTTTCTGTCATGGAATTGTTATAGATTATTTAGAAAGGGAGGATGAGTTCAGGGAAGAAAAGTAATCCAATTTTTCAAGAATAGAGCCTAACTGACACAGGTCAAAAAGTGAAAAATCAGTCACTAATCGGTAACTAATTGGCATTTTCGCCAAATACCGTCACCAATCAGGCAGTTTGCTAACTTTTGATCCAGTGATCAGAAATTGTTGAAATTTAGCTCATTGGAATTGTCTCAACATGACGAATCTAATGGTAGTAAAATCGCATTTCTAGGATTAATACTTGATGAGAAATTAAGTAAATTATAAAAATAAAAATATATCATTTATATTTTATTTAATTTTTCATTAACTATTAATCCTAGAGATCCGATTTTACTACCATTAGATTCGTCTTGTTGAGACGATCCCAATGAGCTATATTTCATTCTTTTCTGATCACTGGATTAAAAGTTAGCAAACTGCCTGATTGGTGATTGATTGATGCCTGATTTTTCACCTTTCGACCTGTGTGATTGGAAAGATTTTGTTGAGTGTTGGAGATAAAAGAGATTTTTTGGCGTAATCTTGATGAATCACCAAAAGTCACACGAGCAGGTAGAATAGCGTGTCTGCTAGAGAGGATAAAATTAGGATCAAAGGTGGAAAAGAAAGTATCAGAAGAGGTATCCATGATGGAAAGGTTAGAGTATGCATGTATAGGTAATGAGGAAGATGTGTTGTTATCGAATTCATGATGGCAATTGTTCCAGCCAGCATCATTTGGATAGGAGTCAGGCGCATAAGAGAAAGCATTATCAGGAGGGCCATCATAGCTTATCATTGACTCAAGCTCCCTAATAC